ACTTGGCGCTTTTGATGGCTTTATCAACGCGCACATTTGAGGCTATTAGTTGTTCGCACGCGAAATTGATGCTCACTTCAAAGTATGCTTGTAAGTAAGGGAAAGCTGAAGTGTTGAAGCCTTATAGTTCCCCTGCTAATTTCTGCCGAGATAATGCCTTTATAGTCATTACTTGTTAAGGAGTACTCTTTCCTTATAGAGCGATTTGTGAGCGTGGATAGCAGACTAAAGAATGGAGGATGAGAATGAAGTTGGACTACCCGCAAAGGGTATCAGTATGATCATCAAAGAAGTACTGCCGGAAATGCGAATCGCAAATGAATCACGTGAACTGTTCGCCGCATGTTGTGTAGAATTCGTGAAGTATGTGGCAAGAGGAGCCCAACATGTTAGTGGAAACGATCAACGGAAGACTATCTACCATGAACATGTGCTGAAGGCGTTACAGCTGCTACAGTTTCCACCAGATTATGCAGAGGCTGCCGACAGCGTGCTCGGCGAGTGTAAGGTTAGCTTATTAAAGCGTTGCACTAGAGACGCTAAGGGGAATATTTTGGGATCTCCCTGATAGACGTGGTGGCCTAACCTACAGTCCTTGTTTTTTTCATTTCGGTCATTCTCGACTGACAATGAGTGAGCACGGAGACTGGCCGCCTAAACACTCACTTTATTTTGCCTTGACCTTGTTACGGTTGCTTTTTTTCACGCGCAATAAAACATTGTTGAGGTTTAGTCGGAGGTTCTTCGAGAACTTGAATACTCCATTGGAAAATAGGTGTAGGATTAGGCGGCGGGAATGGTACTGTAATAGTTGTGGGCATCCATCTGAGGTGAGGTCGTGCTCAAAATGGTAACATTGCTTAGAGCAAGAGATGATCATGCCACACGCAACACTGCAATGCTGCTAACATTGATTTGAGCATCTTGACAGGTTTCCATAGCTTTGCGATGTCTCACAAAGAATGGTTCGCAGCGACCACTTTGTCCCTATCCCTTTATCGCTGTAGATGTCATTCTCTCCGCTTTTGTGAGAACCAGCAACGCTCATACGTTTAGGTTGATCATTTCGCTAATTACTTGACTTCTATGGCAAGATGCTTCTATCATTAAAATTGGAAACGTAAGGTGCCACCCGGTGCCGCCTTTGAAAGCAGCAATGAGACCAGAACGATATATAATTACTATGTGTTTATGGCAAGAGGCTCTCTTTCGCTCCCTTGACCCCGCTCCTCTTCTTTGGTCATGTTTTGCCCGTTTGCCAAGCAGGCGTTTTACGGGTTTTCTTATGAGCACGGATCCATTAAATCCGTTTGCGATTCTCGAGGTTTACGCTTTACTTCTGTGTTTACTTCTTCAAAAGGGCAACTTTTTGAATAATTTTACGATCAAAGAGTGTGTACATTTACGCACTTTTTATCGAAGCGGATCATTGTCGTAACGCATCCGTTTTGCCATTCCGACCCTCTTTGGAAGTACAATTTCAAACGACAGAACTTTTTGCCGGCGACCAGCGAATGCAAAACCAAGAAGTACCCTGGGTTTTTGAAAATACGGAAGATTCCTTGAAAAATGCGCCCAAAAGATGTATAGAACTACATCTCGTAGTATGGATTGCTTCTTTTCCCTCTGGAATAAACCCTCCAAATTCGGTTGCAGAATGTTGTGTTGGAAAGGGGGGGGGGACTGCGACTGTAATAGCTCTAAGCGGATCAAATTACACTTGTTTTCTGTTTTGATTTATTTTGTAGCGCCATCACTCTTCTGTCATAAAACGGCAAACAAATCGCAAGTTTCCTAAAAAAAATCTTGAAAATTCCCAGGCGCGATCCCTGCCATGGTTCCATTCCACGCCAGATGGCCACATTTTTGGTGGTATTTACGACGTTCGCAGGGCTCTACGATGTTCTCACGCCCTCCCAGCTGACCTATTTTCCAAGAGCGGCGCTGAAAAAAATGGCTAGGAAAGGGTTTTTGGGATCACCTTCAGGTCGCCTACTACTGAGAAATATCTTGGCCGCCTAAGGTCAACCCTCGTATTCGACTTCACAAACATTACGACTCTTTCCCGGGGTCCCCATATGACCTTCAACACGGCCTCCTTCAAACTGGGCCTCAAACAACCCCTACCCCCTCCCTCCCTCCTTCCACCAACTTCACTCACTGTGACCATTTCTACAGCATTCATCTGCTGCTATTTGTACTAGCGGACAAAAACTGCACTTTAAAATTTCCTATTTATAAAACTGCCGTAAAACAAGGTTAGACTTCTGGAACGACAGCAACTTCGACGCAATTCGCTCATTCCATGAACTTCTTAAAGAAAGTATAGAAAGTCCCTGATCAGCTTTTCCCAAAGCTGCCCGCGTATCCAAACACGACGCTCTACTCCTTCCATAAAAACGACCCCTCTCCTAGAGTCACCCTTTTTTAACTGCTACGTACGCTATAGCGGGTCAGTCGTATACGCTTGTCAGAATAGGTGGTTGACACAATGAGCCCTAGATACGGCATCCTTCCTCCAAAAATCACAAGCACGATTCCTTCCTGGATGTCCGAATGACGGTCGTCTCAGACAGTGCTCGGCGTGCCGCTGGGTGGCTGTTTGCCGTTCGCACATTATCACCTTTCAAATGAGACGCTCTTGGCTTGGTACTCATTCAATTGTGGGATTCTTGGACCACTTATGGTTAGTGCTGCTGAGTAACTGGCTGCCTGGGGTCGGTTCCTATCCCTATCCATAGCCCAAGTCTAAGAGGAACACTGCGCGGACCTTTATTACGTTCTAGTCGATGACGCTACTGGTCCGAGTCCCATTTACCTTGTGAGATTTCTTGATCGGTTTGTTTTTGTGCTTTATGAGTGTTAGTTGAGGTTGCGGCTGAGAAACGTCTAAAGCGAAAGAATTCGAGATTGGACAAATGCGGCATACCTGAAGAGGAGCTGTACCTTATGCAACAGCAGTTAATCCAACAGGCTCGGGAGCAGGATCCCGATCAGCTACGGGCACAAGCTGCGGCTGTACAACAATTGCTTCCTGAACAGCAAGTTTTTGCAGCGCAACCAGCGCAGGATGATGACGAGTACGATATCTGAAATGTTGGGATTGATTTTTTCTGAAAATTTTCTCCTATTTGAGGTTTCCAAATAATCTAAGGTGTGTAAATAAGCTGTTCGGAATATGTTTCTTTTTTTGAATGTTATTAATGAAAACAATACCTTTTTGTGGGGCTTCAATAATATGAAGATGTGAACTAGAAGTGATAAGTACAATGCTTTGTTAGCGTGCTTCGAATGTAAAGAATTGGAGTTACTTCAAATTTTGTCCGTTTTCGCCCCTCTTTTTCGTCTTCGATTTCCGACCGTCAGAGTTTTTCGTGCTTTATCTTGAATAACAAAAATATCATTTCTTATGAGAAGTCAGCGTTTGTTTTTATTTTTTTCAAAGCCAGTAAAATCCATTCCAGCTCCTTGATTGATTTCTTCGGTTTCCTTTTTCGTCCTTGAACGCCGTTTCTCTGTTTTGTCGTTTTTAAATTATATATATGTCCTGTGTCATCGTATTTCGTTGAGACCTAAGGGTTCCAAATGTTACCCAGTTGTTGACAGTTGGTGTGGTATTTGGGTAAAAACTCATGGATGTCTTTCATGAGTTAGTAGTTTTGAATATTTGTGCGATGCTGTATGTGAAGTTGTTTTGGTGAATTTAGTCTTGTTTATGATTTCTGTTTTTGCTGAGGTGAATAATCTTCAATGAATATTTATTATGTCGTTCGGTTTTCCGCGACCCCGCGACTGATTGATTTATTGGTTCATGAGCCATTTCATATTTCACTGACTTACGACTGTTTTATATATGTTTGTTTCTTCCCCAGCTTTTGGTGCGGCCACTTGTGCTGAATTAGCGGCTTCAAAACAAGAGCATGAGGCGCGCGGTCGCGAAGCGTTCGCAAATGGGTGTGGGTTACGAGTTCGTGGCGCAACCAGAATACGCGGTATTTTGTGCGTAGTTATTTGTTGTCATAGTTTCATTACACATATAGTTGAAGATCTGCTCCCTGGCAATTGGTAGTTGATGTGGTTTGCTGTTGTTGAGCGATGGTTTTGGGTTTAGTTCTTATAATTGACACCTGGTTGATGATGGATTAATTAATACTACGTTTGTCGCGACGCGACCGCGCGCGGCAGCATTCGTGAAAGGCAGGGCTGGTTGCACGCAATGACCTATGTGTTTGCTGAAGTTCTCATTTTCATCACAGTCTGCATGAGAATACAGTAGAATCCATTTTTTTCAGCGCTATGCTTGCAATACGACGACCACTGCTGACTGTACCGTCGGTCGCAACGAGTGCACAAGCGGTTTTCCACAATCGCAGCTCCGTGCCGCGAGTAACGGACGATCGTGAGAAGTCGAAGGCGTTCCCAGCGGATGCGGGCTACCTTTACCGCTACCATCGTCCGGGCGTCGATCCATTACCGCGTATACCAGGCTGTCGCGTGCCGGTCCCACGACCGCCGTATAAAGTCCGCGACGCGTGGAGAGAATCGCAGGCGCGATTTGGTCAGAATGACTACATCGATCTGTTGGGAGATGGCCAACTTCATCCGGCTCTGTTGCAGTATCACACACCAAAATGGCTGAGAGGCTTCCCTGGACAGCATCGTGCGAATGAACTGGTGAAATTGATTCACTACAGGAATTTGTACGATGAGAAGTTGAAGCAGAATTCTCCGAGAAGATGGCATGAGCTTTGCAAACGAATCAAGTATCTGCTCATACATCACAACTACGAGAAGCAGGATGAGCTGCAGCGTGAGCGCGATCTTGGCCTTTGGGATGAGGAACCGGATTATTTCTACAAGGATAAATCAAGGCGATCCTATCAAGATCTTGTTTGAAACTGTACATTCTAGAAAATACAAATTTATGATGTAGTTTTTCGAGAAGCGTTTTTTATTGTTTGTTTTCACATTTTGGGCCTGCCAATGCATATACGTGAATGGGAAATGATTTGCGTTTGTGCGAACGAAGTTCCTCTGTTTCCTGCGGACTTGACGTAATTGCAACCTGGTGACCTAAAGTGACATCAGGATGGCATCGAGGGCTTTCAAAAGCATCTAGATGGAATTTTGTTGTACGCCTGTGTGCCGCTGAGTCTGCAATTATGTCATGTCCAGCCGTGGGTAATAGAGGATATCAAAGCAAATGAGAGTCTAAATGTGAAAACAGTTTAGTGCATTAGACGTTGTTTTATTCTTCAGCAGTTTTTTCTGTATGTTTAGATTTCAATAGGTTTTCCCAAACAGCTGTCATTTTTCGCGGATGAGCTATGACAGCTGTTGTGACTGAAGCTGAACTAAAATCAATATGAACTGACTATTTTACATTTCGTTGATGGACGTTTTTACTTTGCTAAGGAGTTATTACCGTTGCTGTGCTCATTTTTAGCGTTGGAAATGTTGTTCTTATGGTTATAAATGAACGAATAATTATCTTCGCAGCTTGCTGGTACAATGAGTTGAATCTGGCTCATGGAACTATCTGACAATCGAGTTATTTTTGTTTGAGACTTTTCCTTCGAAAATGTCGATTATTTTGTCCATTATTTATGTGTACTTCAAACTGGCATGGTAGTTTCTTACATTTTTCATTCGCCAAAAAATTACTTATTGGGGTCATTCTGGGTGTTGGTGTCTCTGGCAGTGGGGGGGGGGCGCAGAGGACTCAAGGCTTCCGAATCCACGGCAGATAGTTCTACTTCAACACTTGAAATCTTTTTGCACAAGCAAATGGTTCATTTTAAAGCAAATACATAAAGCGAGCTGGTGAAAGATTTTGAAGTAGGATTTGATTTTTCGAACGAAATCGGAAGGAGCAGGGAAGGAATCCATCAATCGAGAAGGCCTCTACAGTCCATAGTACTGATTTAGGCATGCAGTCTTGCTGGGGCGTGCTGTCGCTACGCTATCATTTGCGCGCTGTATGGCTCTTGTGTGCCATTGTGATGGACGAGTTAATATATGAGTGTTTAGAGGCAATAAATAAACAATAAACAGCTGAAGGAAAGCAAGTTTGCGCGTACTAGATGCCCACCGAGGCCACCGCGCCCGCGCACTTGACGTAATTTGTAATAAAA